CTTTAGTGGGAAGTAATTAGTTCATTGGGGACCCTTGGAAAAGATTAAGGAGTTCTCCTTGGCCCCTTGGTTAGTTTTCAAGAGAGTTCTTATAAAAACATTCATGTTAGCACCAAGATTATGAGTCCCCAGACATCTCAAGGTAATTTTACCCTTAGTATGTTAATATTATAGTAAAATAAAATTCAGGCAAATTTGATAGAAGAAGTTTGGCTTAGGGACACATATTCATCATTGAACATGTTAATGCCTTTTCCAGTACATATAAAATTCCAACTGAACTATTGCTATGGGAAATGTTCATTGAATCTGCTTGAGATTCACTTATGATTTGTAAACATGCACATTCCGTAAATGTTTCTAAATACCATTTATTCCCCTACATTTTGTTTATACTTTACATTCCTTGAGAAATGCATTCTTTACTTACTATGCATAAACAAACCACATTTCTCATAAAATCAGTGCTAATTCAAGGAATTTAATAGTAAATGCTTATTATATAGCCTCTGCCAACTGTGCCATTTTTGCCACAACTATTTTTTAAAAACAGATCTTACTCCTTTATGTAAAATATAAGTATAGCTTAATTTCTGTCAGTTCTTTGATGGTGAATTATGCCTATTTCCAATAAGCTTAGTTAAACTCCTTTTCAAGGGAACCTAATTCATGATTAAAAAAAAAATGGGGCACACAATACCTAAGGAAAAGGAAGAAGCAGCAAGTTGATCAATGGAGAGCTAACAACAATGGAAATGTGCAGAAGATCCTTACAAAGACAATGGTCATAAGGAGATTTTTCTAAAGCTACATTTCCCTGATTTATAAGGAATCCTTCCCTGTATCTTGGTAGTTTCACCTTTGTACATAATCCATTTAACATTTACTGAACAATCGCCACTGATTTAGTGGCTAAGATTATTATAAATTTGAGACTGAGCTGTTTGATAAGTCTTTAAGTATCACGGACAAGGTTTCAAAGAAACCTTTCAGTCAATGGAAGTTTGGATAAATTAACTTTTTGTTAAACCCAGGTTAGAGTACAGAAATAGGTTAATAATCTTGATTAAATTAATTTGGGGAACTGTATAGAAACGTCTAGATGTTACCTTTGCTTTCAAGTAATATAGTGATCCTCAAACTACCAATGATTCAACTTAAATCTCAATTGGGAAAAAGTTTCATCATCTAGTTCACTTTCAACCATGTGTTTAGCAGGGTGGACAAACTAACAACAGAATACTAGTATCAACACTGCTGAAAGACCCTACTAATAGAAGACAACTCAAAGACCAAGAGCACTGGATTTTAGGATTGGATTTCTTTGTGTTATTTTTGGTCAGTCCTCCCCTGACAAAAAGCAGGCCATCATACCAAATGACCAATTCACCAAATTACTAAGACTACTGTGGGACTGTTAGCTTTGTTCTGACTTTGCTAGTTATTGCTTCTCAGATTTGTTAGTCTGGCAATATGTTTTAGGCTAATTTGAGTGAGCTTTCTCTTAGTCACAGTTTGTCTTTTCCATTTTGTGGACTCCTATATCTGCATCTGCTGTTCCTTGAAGAATTTCCCATGCTCAATTTAAGGTATTTGGCTGAGAGTCTTCAGTGAATCAGTCTTCTGGCAAACTGGTTATTCAGCATCTGCACTGAAACCAAGTAGGGTTTTTCTCTTAGAGTCAATTATCTTTTCTATAGGGGTGATTTTAATAGTTACTCTAACTCCAACTAAATTCTGTCTCTAGGACAGAAATTTCCCATTTTAAACACAATTGAGACTAATGAGCCTACTAGCTCAAAGTTACAATATATATTGGACTATCCATTTTCAGAGTTAAACAAAGAAAATATATTTAGCTTTGAAGTAGTGTGGGAAAATAATCTTTTATATCTATATATAAACTTAGTCTTCGAAGTTCTTTCAGAGACTGAGAGTCAACATTATAAGCATAAATTTTCACCAGACAGATGACTATTAAATGTATAGGACAATAGACTGTCTTTATCCAGACTCAGAGAGGTCCCACTGGAAATAATCTTTTGATAGATATCACTCCTGCCTGCCAGGCAGTCATACCCACACCAACTCCATTTCAGTAGATCTCTTAGAGATATGTGTCTCTCCAGCAGTTCACACGGAGACATGTCTGCCTGCACATGTGAAGAATGTGAGGGCAGAAAAAAGCCTGAGAACTTTAGTCTACCTGTCTTACTTTAGTCTACCTGTGTAAGACAACACACACCCTATGTTGTCTCTGGGTGTAGACAACATAGACAGTCCAGTTGCCAACATCAAAGGCCCATCTCATGGTCAAGGCCTTTATTAAATCTGGAAAGAATTTTACATCAAGTGCATTGAAGAGAAAGGAATTTGATTTATAGTGAAGGTATTGGGAAGAAAGGGATATAATTTCCTTGTGTAAATGCACAGTTGAACCTGGTATTCAAGAATTTAATATTCACCTGGTCTGCTTTGAAGTGACATCAGAGATCCATGACACACAGTGTTGCAACTTGTCCGACTTGCTACTTAATTAGTTCGTGAATAATGGTGAGCTATAATAAATTGAAAGCTCATCTCCTATATGTGCAATGTTATTTAAACTGGGGTTCTGTTCCTAGAAGACTTTTTTACATCACAAAACAAGCGAAACACTATAAAAAATAAAACATTTGATTTTAGAAAGTTAAACAGTATACAGAACCAGGGCTAGGAGGGGTGGTGCCAACCTGTAATTCCAGCTACTCAGACGGTAAACAGGAGGACTGGAGTCTAAGGCTGGGAAGGGGGAAGAACGAGACCCTATCTGAAAAACAAACTAAAAGCAAAAGGACTGGGGGACATGGTTCAAGTAGTAGAGGCCCTGAGTTCAATCTCTGGTACCAACAAATAAATAATAATAATAATTAAAAAAAAGATCAAATATGAAAAAACTACAATATAACATTCCTTTTGGGAATTCTCTAGAGCCAACACAAACTAAGTCTTAACTTATGCAGCCCCTTCAAGTTAGTATTTCAGAGGCCAATGTTCTTGAGGGGATGCACAGGTAAAAATTTCCCGGAGCGAGGACCTTTGAACTTCTAACACAAACTTCTGACAGACTGAAGGGGAAAAGAAAAGCCTCAGTTCTTCTACTCATACTAAAACTCATATGAAAGGGTTTAATAAGGTGACCTCAGTAATAACATCCTGGGACATATGGGTGCACAAATATCCACACTATCCTTCAAAAATGCCACTGTTACTATCATTGGCTACTGTGTTGCAACTATCCATGTTAGCCACAGTACTAAAATAATGAATTTAAACTGGTATCTTTGAGAAAAGAAAGCTTCCAAGTAATTTTCTTTCCTTTGTGTTTTTCAGTAAGAACCAGTACATATAGGGAAATCTATTGCTCTTTCACCTCATTTCAAACAAGACATTATCAAGGCTGTTATAGAAGTCGAACTCCAAATTACAAACATTGAACACTTTTCCTTGAGAATGCTTCTTCATGCACTGCTATTTACATAATGTAAGATATATCAAAGGTGCTAAAGAATGTGACATATGGCTGTTCTCAAAGAGGTCTCTGGACCTGAAGTATAAGCATCACCTGGTCCTACCTGTTTAAGAACCTCTAGCGTTAGAGCTCAGGAATTTGTTTTCAGAAGCCCTTCCAGGTGATTCTGATGTGTGTCAGAGTCAGAGAAACACTGTCACAGAGCATCTACTTTCTGCCAGAGGGCATGTTCATGGTGAATCAGAAGATGATGTGGAGAGAGATCAGGCTGAAGTTCAGGATAGGAAAGCCTTTTAAGGGTTTAGGGATTTCAGTCTTCTTAGGCTGTTTCCTTCCTAATCCCATTTCCTCTGACTAATGAGGCTGACTTTGTAAGTGAATATACACTAGGGAATTGGTCATTGTGGTATGTTCCATAAGGACTGGTTCATCTTCCCACAGCTACACCTGGACTTGATATAAAAGTAATCAGAGAAGCAACAAGAGATCTTAATTCTACCACAGTCACCTCAAGAAATATATTAATTATATTCACAGTGGATATCTACTGTTTGACTCCTAACACCCCATTTTCTATTCTTTCAGAAATAGAACCATTGTAGCACACTTATTACTCCCATGTTGATCCAGGCTGGTCTAATTAGCCTGAATCTCAGAACTTCTGAAAGAGCTGTGAACAGAGCTGAATTCCTGGACAGCTGTGAGGCAAAAAAGAGCACCATCTAGACAAAGCTGAACAGGGATGAAAACACAGGTATTGGCAACAGCTTTTAAGCCCTGAACACTGCAGTAATGGAAACTAGAATTATCCCTGGACTCTTCTGCCAATGAAATTTCCTTTTTTGCTTAACTTAATTTCAAGTGGCATTTTGTGTGACCACTTGAAGTATGTGAACTGATAAAATGTCCCCACCGTCCTTGACAACTTTAAATGAGAAACCTACCTGCTACTAATCTCTCAACTCTCTCCTTTACATTACCTAATTTTCCAAAACACTGCTTTTGAAATATTATTGCCAGCTATTCAAAAACCATTTATCTGCTCATGACATTTGAAGCCTTTGGAGTCTGGCCTTTTCTCAACTTTATCTTCACTTGACCTCTCAATTCCAGTGAAACATTTTTTTTCCAAAAGACATCACAAGTATTCTTAACTCTTGTGAGGCAGCCTTCTGTTATTATTCTCTACTTATCTAAATCCTAACTTTAAAAAAATTGTACCTTAAGTTCTGTCTCTATCAAGAAGTCTTCACCTATACCAGCAATATTCTCTGAGTTCCATTTTTTGGAAATTGTATTATTATTTGTCTTTCTATGTATCTACAAGTGCATCATCACCCTGATAAAACTAACTGGCTAGAGGTTAAGAATGAGGACTCCATTCTACTATTGAAATTTGATACACATTTGAACAAAACACTGCTAATCATTTTACAGCTAGAGTGTCATTCTTCAGCAGTCTCTAATGGTAAAGTAATCCAGGTCTTACCTTCAAATCTAGATGCACCACATTGTGAGTGTGTAAAAAGCGCACGCCTTCTAAAATCTGTCGCATGAGTCTTTGAACATCTTTTTCTTTAAAGGCATCTTCTCTGTCTGCAACACACTGGTCAAAGATCTCACCCCCAGCAGCACTAGAGAAGGGCAAAATTAAAGTAAAATATAAATCATAAGAAAGGATATGTGAACATACACAACAAAACTGAAGAGTAACTTAATCACTGTCTGGCAGTACTGTATACTGCTAATATGAACTTAATGATCTGAACTTAAACAGTATAAGCAAAGCCAGCTTAGTCCCAAACAGAAAGAGGTGCACCATGATGTGCAGCCAGTTCACTGCATAGGCAGGCCAGTTTGTCAGCACCACTCAGAATTAGATTCCTCAACTGAAACAAGGAACTGCATTGTGACTGCAAGGATTTCTTAGTCACCCGTTCTGTTTTAAAAAAGGAGTTCCTCTCTTTCTCAGCAAAAACATGAGCACAATATATGTTGCCACCTACAGTTTTCTAGGACTTACTTCAAATGCACGTTACTATAAAAAGCTTTAAAAGCTAGCCTTGACTGATCAGTACCACCACATTCCTCTTGGTTCAATGTAAATTGAAGCTTAAATGTAAACTTCACCATTAAATGAACTAACTGTTGGACCATGATAGGAAGGAAGCAAATAGGTGCCCTCCTCACTCCCTGGCTTCTTTTCTGGAGGCAATTTATGGACAGTTGTACTGGTAGGGGAAGAATCCAAGCAGCATAAGGCAACCTTGCTAAACTGACAGGACGGGCCGGGAGTTTGGAAAGGCTAAGGTAGCTGGAGTTTGCAGGTAAAGTACCAGAGAGTAGGGAGCCACACAAAGATCTCCAGAAACCTGCTTAGTAGTGTTCTGGAGTCTTTGGTAAAATACTTTAACATGCATGCAGTTTGAAGCTCTGCAAGGTCAGGTAAGAACTTCAGAGAAAATATAAGGTGAAAAATTCCTAGTATTTACAGAACACAAGATAAAATATCTGAATTTTGGCCATTTGGAGTTTTTATACCATTCCAAACACCTAAAACAATCAACAAACATCCCCTTCTCCCTAACAATGGGCTATGTGTAATACAAAGGCTAACTAGCCCCACACCTGCCCTAACCAATCTGGGCCATTAGTAAACTAACTGCCTGCCAAAATATGTGTCACCATCCTTTAAAGGAATGAAATCTACTCCACACTATAACATTCTATATGTATGACATCCTACCAAAAATTTCTAGACATCAGAAAATGCAACAAATTATAATCCATAACCAATATGAAAAACAATAAAACCACACTCAGAAACAACAAAGATGATGGAATGACAGATAAGGACCTTTAATAGGCATTACAAAGATGGTCAAGGATTTAAAAGTAAACTATAGACATAGCAAGGAAGAGATGGAGAGTACGAAAAGAACCAAATGGAATTTCTATAGATCAAAAAAACACAGTAACTAAAATGTTTTGTTTGTTTAAGACAAAGTGTTGCTACATAGCCCAGGATGGGCTTTGAACCTGTGATCCTCTTGCTTCAGCCTCCTGAGTGCTAGGATTACAGGCATGTACCACCATGCCTGGCTACTGGATGGTCTTCATAGTGAATTAGACACTGCAAAAGAATCAGTTAAGTTTAAAACAAAGCAATTGAAACCATTTAATTTGAAGTACAGACAGAAACAGAAAAAAAAAAAGATTGAACAAAATCAACAACACCTTAGGGACGTGTGGGACAATACCAAGCAGCTTAACACATTGTAATTGAAGGAAGGAGAGAAGAAAGGCAGGGGCAGAAAATCTTAGTAACATAATGGTCAAAAAAAGTCCAAATCTGATAAAAACTATAAACACGAAGATCCACGTAACTCAACGAATCCCACACAGAGTAAACACAAACACAAAGCACATCATGTCCAAATTCCTGAAAATCAGTGATAAAGAAGTACATTCATAGGTGACACAAGAATACCACAAACTTCTTGTCATAAACAACTCAAGAAAGACAATGAAATGATATCTTTAAGTGCTGAGGGAAAATATACCTAGAATTCAGGGTGACTGTGGAGAAGGACTAGCAGATGAGGAAGAAAAGAAGTCAGAAAGAGAAGGATGGATGAGGGTAAAACAATCTGAAAAATCCTGAGTAAGGCAACAATGACTGATACATAATGCTAATGTCTGTCTCCTCTAGGAATCACCTCCTGACTACCAGGGGAAAGCAAACAGCACAGCATACAGCTAAGAACAGAGTTTCTTTCTCTCTTTTTGAATTTGGTGGAAAGGAGGTGCTCAACCACTTGAGCCACACCTCCAGCCTGAACAGAGGCTCTTGAATCACTCTAGGCCTAGATCCTGGGTCTGTTACCTGGGGTATGACTTCAGATTGATTTTTTTCTCTGAAGATTTTTTCCTCATATGTTAAATCTTGTTCTAAAACTTATAAGTAATGTATAGTTAAGTCTATACTAATTTACAAACTATTTGTACAAAGCATAAAATAATGTACATAAAGCTGGCTGGAAGACTTAATATAATGGCTGACACATAACCTGCCTGTTTCCACAGAAACAATCTATTGATGTGGCTGAGAATTTTGATACCTCTGCATTCACAGTATCTTTGACTTCCTTTTCAAACTAAAAGTAGAAAAGAAAAATTTTCGGCCAAATCATACTGATTTCGGTTTTAAAACCCTTATCACTGAAGCAAAAAAAGCCACCAAAGACTTCAAAGAAAGGGAATAATATCAGCACATCTATGTTTCTGTTACTTATCTAATAGAAGCAGGAGAGATGTCCGAGCATGGAAGCAAGGGTGATTAGTTAAGAAACTACTGGAGAGGTTAAAGTGGGAGACTTGGTAATTCATCATGCCTGAGTATTAAAGTAGATAAAGGAATCAAAGACATTTTCAATGTTTTTAGTACAAGCAATGAAATAAAGGAGGATATAGCAATGGAAATGGGGAACAAAAGAAAAATGGGCATTAAAGGGACAAGGTAAAAGTATTGATATTGAGCTGATGATCTGTGGGTTGGACACAAGCATATGCAGTAGGCAGTTGAAGCTTAGGAGAGGAAATGAGGCTGGAAAGATTTGGAAATAGCATGTACATAATAGTGGAAGCCACAAAAAAATATTATTGTTAAGGGTAAATACATAGAACATAAAAATATGATGACAGTAACACTGATAGAATTCTGGGGAATACTTATATTTACACAGAAAAGGGTAAAAGACTTTGAGAAAATTAAAACAAATAAACGGTTGTGAAAGGCACGGAAGAACATAATTTCAAGAAAGTATGTACAGCATCATAGGTTTAAAGAGCAGAATGAAAACTAAAATGAAGAGATTTTGTTAAATAGGGTTGGCAACCTCATGAAAGTTTCAGAAGAGCAGATGACATTAAATTGAAAAGTGAATGCAATACTGGCACATGAACAGATCAATGGACCATGAAGTGAACATAATTGATTGGAAGGTGAGGAAAGCTATAAATTCAGACCTTTCTTTTAATAAGTATGGTAAGTAAAAGAGAAAGACAGTACAATAATTTAAGATAACTCAAATCTGAGGAAGAGGAATTTTAGAAGAGACTGAAATAATGGAAGACAGAAGGAAAAAAAGAACCACTAAAGAAGGAGGGACTAAAACTGAAGCTCGAAAAAAGGTTACATAACTGACTCTTCCTTCAAACAGAATGGGAAGGGCATGAGGCAGTAAAGACAGAGATACTTAGGGACGGATGCTGAGGAGTATGTCATGGCCTTATTTTCTCCATAAAGGGGAGAAAAATCCATGCATCCAATAAGAGCTGGGAAACAGGTGACAGTAAATGTAGTAAAAGTATATTTGTGGAGCATATGAAGATTATCTGGAAATCCTTTCAGAGATTCAGGTCCTGGCACATTCTCATAGATAATGGCCACCCTGTAAAGGAAGTGTAGATTACCAAACAGACTCAGTTAAAGGAAGACAATACTTACTATTCCAGAACCAAGATCATTTCTGATGGAGTCTCATAAACTTCAAGTAAATTAATGACCCAAGGACTGTCCTGTGCTAGTTCAAGAACAGCAATCTCATGAATTATTTCCATGCGACAATCTTGGCCTTTTCTTCTTTTTCTCATGAACTTAGCTGCAAATTCTCTTCCAGAATCTTTCTTTATACATTTCCTCACCACTGCAAATTTTCCCCTAGAATTAAACAAAAATATTCACCGTTAAAGTTGACAACTTCCCAGTAGGGCTCAGTGGCTTATTCCTGTAATCCTCACTACGCAGGTGGAGGCTATCAGGACTACAGCAGTTTGAAGCCCTGGCAAAAAGTTCATGAGAACCAGCTCAACCAATAAAAGCTGAGTGTGGCAGTGTGCACCTAACATCCCAGCTTCAATGAGAAGAGTAAATAGGAGGTTCAAGTCAGCATAGGGAACAAATGAAAAATAACTAAAGCAAAAAGGGCTGGGGGCATAGCTCAAGTTGTAGAGCACCTGCCTGTGCACAAGGTCCTAAATTCAAACCCCTGTATCACCAAAACAAACAAACAAAAAAATCGACAACTCTCTAGAAGTGGCAAATTTAAATAAATAAAACTATTAAAACATCCAGCAATGGGTATTCAAATTTAGCTCATTCAAACACAAAGGACGCAACAGCATTTGCTACTTTTTATAGGCTACACATCTATAAATTGAAATATGTATCAAATAAAATGTAACTTCTCAACCTGCAAAAATCATTTTTCTACATGGAGAATAACTGCTCTGGCTTGACAGTTCCCCCAACCCCCGAAAACAAGTTCATGTGTTAGAAGCCTAATTAGCAATGCAATAGAATGGAGAGGTGGGACCTTTAAGAGGTGACTAGTTCTGCGGTGAGGCCCTCATGAATGGATTAATACCATTATCAAGTCCCTCATATAAAATGGTATAGTATTGCCTATAACTTATGCACACCCTCCCTTATATTAGGAATCATTTCTAGATTACTGATAATATCCAATACAATGCAAATGTTAAGTAAAGAGTTGTTACAGTATATTGTTTCAGGAGTGATGAGAAACAGTCTACATATTTTCAGTACTGATTCCCACCCTCCCCCGCCCCGATCATTTTCTATCTATAGTTGGGTGAATTCACAGATATGGAAGGTAGACAATACGACCTAATATTTGTTTAAAAACCTCATAGGGTCGTCATATTTCATTTTGGCCTTGTAAATAAATTAGCCAGGCCTTTTCTCGCTTGAGTTTTTAGTCAATATGCTCACATTATATTTTAAAAAATACTTTCTAAAAACTTAAATGAAAGGCTTTAATTTGGATTGTCTATGTTTTGATTCACCATTTTAGACTACTGGCATAATTGTGAATACAAATTCTTTTTTACCAGCTATTGTTGACTGCAAATATGATTTCTATTCCTCTACATTTTTTGTTACCACTAGTAATAAAGTTTAATGACAAATCCATAGGTATAGCATTTTACCTGTACAATTTGATAACAATGTACCTAAGAGCACCCTTATTCAGATCAAAGGTCTTTTCTTCAGAGAAAGAGCAAAAACTACTGCTCCCTTTTGTTGTGCCCCACAAAATCATTACGTTAACATCTATCAAGCTGTATAAAGTTCCCAATGACCTTTGGGTTCTTCTAAGAAAGAAAAAAACATTAATAATTTTATTTTTTTCATATCTATGAACTTCTGACTTCACCGTCAGAAGTTTCAAAAGAGAAAGTTTGATTTGTAAAATACTGGTGAGAAATGAAGCCTCAAAATATTCACAGCAATCAGTTCCTGATAAATTAGAAAGAACTCAGTTGAATGGTTATTCCTCAAAGTACTCCCATATCAAACACACAAATGTTTACTAATGCCACAAAGAAAATTTAAAGCAGTACAAAGAAGTAAAACACTACTTATTTAGTCTCAAAGTATATGTTTCAAGAGCAGAAGGAAAGGCAAATGATTTAGCAAACAGAACTGGATTCATGCCCATCACTAGACTGCAAACTCTGAGAACCTTGTTAAAGGAAGAGCCATGGCTAAATTGGGGGAGCTCTTCCCTCTATTTCCCTGCTTGCTGTCCTCATGCATTTCTTTAGGTATGCAGTTACCATTGCTTTCCTTCCACATCTACGGCTACACTCTGACACAACATTTGTTTCTGTGCTTCCTTCCCTACCTATGGTTTTAGGTTTATTCTTTTCTTTCCATCATATCATCTACTGTATACTGAGGGTCAGCAAACTTTTCTGCAAAGGAAAATACAGTACATATTTTGGTTGTGTGGGTCAGATGGTCTCTATGGTAACTAATGAAGTCTACTATTGTTGAGCAAAAGCAGCCATACATCAAAGGTAAATGAATGACTATTTCTGGGTTCCTGTAAAACTTCATGGAAACTAAATATTTGAATTTCCTAAGATGTCCATGCCTTTAAATATCACTTAATCCTATTTTTTTCAACTATTAAAAATGTAAAAAATCTGCTTCTGAGCTGTACAAAAATAGGCAAATGGCTGTAGCTTGCTAACCCCTGTACTATGCTATGCTAAAAAAACCTCATCCATGTTCTGATACTGCACACCACTGAAAACGGTAAGACAGCAGAACACAATGCCTTAAGAAAACATATACTGCCCTCACAGAAGAAGATACAAAGAGAATTCTGGGAGCTATTTCTTCCATAGTCACACCATTCAAAGCATGGGATTCCACATTCCAGGAGCAGAGTCCCACTAAACATTCTCAGAATTGCATTATCAGAGTTCCTTAAATTACATATACACAAAGAGTTCCAACATGCATACCATGGTAAAAAAACGGCAGCTGCAACTCAACCCTTAACTTTAGGTTATCAAGACCTCTATAAAACATTAAAAAAAAAAGTTTCTCTGATACTGGGGCCACAATTATACTGGAGCTGATGAGGGTCAAAGAGCATAAGATGTATTATCTGTTTACTTTCTTGACTAAAAATCTAAACTACCTGGAATACACAGATGTTATAATGTTCAGAGTTATTCACTCATTTCACACATCTTTAATTCACTAGCACGCACAAAACTGTGAACTCAGGTTTTCATGAAACATCTTGGGGCAAACTACTCAACAATATCCCGAATAGAGGGAAAGAAAAGATACAGAGACAATTATAACAAGAGGAAGTGACATGAGTTATACCTACCAGTCCAAGTTCAAATATATCAGGTAGTAAACTGAGTAGATATACTGCTCTTATTTTATTATATAAAAGTTTTATGGCAACTTAACCTCCATAACCTTTAATATATCAGACCACTTGCCCTTTTCGCTTCGTTGAACTTTCCTGCTGCTTTGCCTTTTTTGTTTTATTGTCAATGGTTAGTGTACCTTACATCACTACTACCAAAATTTCATCCGTTCTTTATGGCTCTGCTCAAATGTTATTTCCCCCATAAAATCTTCCAGTGGCATGCCATCTTGCCTATAAAGGATAGTGATTGATTTGTTACACTTGGAAATAACTTTCAGAGACTAGTGTAGTCTCTTATGTACTTAACACATAAGTATAATATAGTCATACATCACTAAATGATGGGGATATGTTATGAGAAACGCATCCTCAAATAATTTCATCACTGTGTAAACATCTTTGTGCGTGTGTACATAAACCTAAATGGTAGAGCCTATGGCTCCCGTGTTACTGTTCTGCACACTGCAGGCAGTTGTAGCACAATGGTATTTGTATGTTTAAACATCTAAACTATCAAAAAGGCATAGTAAAAATATAGTACAAAAATTAAAAAGAAATTCTGAAGAAATTTATACTAAATTAAAATATAGTATAAAAAAGAAAACTACACTTTTATTGTTTTGAGAATTTTAGGATTTATGATATAAGCAATGATAAAAATTTGCACAAAAATATCTTAGAACAAAGAGTTCTGAAGGTGAATTTAAGTTGTCAGTGGACAACAAGCCCAGGCCCTGCACAGACTAGACAAATGGCTTTCTATACTCCCAGTCCTTGGAGATAATTTACTGTGAACTCCACATGATAATGTAAATTCCCTTAATGAATTTAGTTCCTTCTCACTCACCTGAAGAGGTGAATCAATGACTATAGCTTTCAGCTTTCTAATGCATTTGGCTTAATAATCAAATTTTACACAATTTTGTTATTTATAGTTTTAAAAAAGAGACTGATATTCAATACATCTTTAAATTTATGTATTTTAAATTATGACATGTTTCCTAAGTAATTGCTGTTGCTGAATCACACACAAGCCAATTTTATCTGTCCAAAAATATCAGATTACCCCAAATATAATTCTTCAAATGAAGGAGTAGCTGCCAAAAAAATCTTAAGTAACATTTCTTCTAAAACAAGATAGTTTCTACATGGATATTACTTAGCAAGCATCTGTATTTCTAAGGAAATTATAACAACTTATGGCACATGCTTACGTAATTATAAAGTTTAAATCTGAAGCCATTACAAACATCAATTTAGGTAAAGGCCTGAGCGCTCCAAAAGCACACACACTCTCCTAAATTGTCTTTCAACTTGAACATTCTCCTATTCTCTTATAAAAATCCTTTCTTGCCCCTGTTATGCCTAAATGCTCTGAAGAGAATGAGATAAGACATCCCTATTTACTTTAAGGCTCACATGGGGAACAGAACTGACATTGATCTCATTAGGCAAGTTTTTTACCTTACTAGAAAAAAAGGTCATGCACAAACATATTCAACTGTTAAAACCGTAATATTAAACTGAGCACCAGAGGCTCACGCCTATAATCCTAGCTACTCAAGAGGCAGAGATGAGGAAAATCGCAGTTTGAAGCCAGCCAGGCAAAAAGGTCTCCAGACCCTATCTTGAAAAATCCTTCACAAAAATAGGAGTGGTGGAGTGGCTCAAGGTGAAGGCCCTGAGTTCAAGTCCCAGTACTGCAAAAAAAAAAAAAAAGTAACAGTGAAAAAATTTATGACTGTTAAACAAGGACTACTTATAACACAAAGCAGAATTTTTACTTCCTGAGATTTGATAATGCCATGTCTTTTGCAACAAGACCTCACTACTTTTGACAGAGACAGGGCATATTCTGCAATTGTGGTTTTCTGACTTTTGCTCCTTGGTTACATTTAGAATAGGAACATTTATTGAATAGCCCAATGAATTACATTTATTGAGTGCTTCTGCTCAGCTAAGCACAGTCTTAAGGCTACAGAAGTGTTTTATTTAATTCCCTCAACAACTCTGAGGTAATCAATGGTTAGGTAATGTACTGAAGTCCACGAAACTAGTAAATGCCAAGATTTGGTTCCAGAATGACTGACTCCAAAGCCCATGTTCTTATCCACTGCATTAAACTCCAAGATGAAAAAAGGGGACAAAAAAAAAAAAGATTAATTGTCTTTTCCAGTTTCAGGCTCTTACATCAAGTATCTAACTGCATTGTTCAGTTGTTTCAGGATTTATTCCTTTTACAAAGCAAAGACACCACAATCTCAAAAAAAATACAAAACAAAACCTTACAGACAAGCTCTCATTTTATAGAGCCTAAAACAAAAATTGAAACATTGCTGGAGGACTTAGTACCACAATACCTGGGAAGGTATAAATCAGTATTTCAGATTAAAACATTCATTATAAAGTCTACAAGACAGTGCTTGCCACCTGAAGACATTTTGTAATGCAAGTTTTCCTTCTGTGGAACAAAGCCAGACAGCTCAACCCAAAACCGTAAAACTTAGTTTTCCTTTTTTAAAGTGATCAGATTTACTTCGAATGTGCGGAATTTCAATGAATTAGAATACCTCGCTGAGTCAGTCACTGGGTTCTCGCCTTCTGTCATAATTAAACTGGGCCCAGAGCCAGCCAATTAGCGTCTAGCATAGTGAAGTAAGTCTTACTCTGAAAAGGTATTTTTCCTTTTGTTAATACAAGACATTTTAAAGATACACATCCTCCTTAGGGAGGGGGAGAAGCATCTCTACACGCTATAAAGTCCTGCATTTGTTTTTTAGTTTGTAATCAATGACTCTTCCAAAACCCCATCTGAAGGTTGTCAGAACTGTAAGGCCCCTACCCATTACAACATGGAGCTATTTTGCAATCAGGACAAATGCTTGCAATAAAAGCAAACATGAAAGCTATGTGCCAGGCCCACTGGTCTTCGCTAACACCTTTGTAAGGTAAGTGCTGTTATTATACTGACTTTATGAATGACAAAAATGAGGCTGGGGTGTGTGTGGAAGACACCCACCTAAGGCAAGCACAGCGAGAAGAGCAAAGACATGAACTGGGTCTGGCCCCAAAGACAACGCATTTGACTACTCTAAACTGCTGTCAGGGAAGAAGATTCTCAAAATCGCATAGAAGTGGCTTCATCACTCCTCTTCGACATACAAAATATAAAGCACCCAAACAGCCTTCACCGTTTACAACTTTACCAAGTTTTAAACTCTCCATTACACCCATTTGAAAGGAGCGGGTCAGGCAGAAGGCAAGAGCTAACAGCAGAGTAGAAAGAGTGCGAAAGAGGTCAAGAGCCTACGAATGAAACCAGCTGAACTTAAAGCACAGGACCAGGATGGCACAAAACCAGCCAAGAAAACGAACACGACACGACGTAGGCCACAGAAGGCGGTGGCCAGCTAACGCAGCCGGAGCCGCGGACCGAGAAACCCGGAAGACCTGAAGCCGCAGGTTTTATTTCAGACTTGCAACTCGGGGTAAATGTCAGCCTCTCCCGCCCATTTACCCTTTAAACCTCACAGATGCCCAAAAGGCCGAGGACGGAGAGCCGTCTGGCCCTCGGGGGCAGATGAGACCAGTCTTTGCTCGTCAGGGTTTCTTTCTCGGCCAAAGAACTTAAAGTGACTGCTCTGAGAGCCCACGCCGGCTCTGGGGACGCGGAGGTCACCGCCAGCACCCAAGTTTATGCCAAGTCACAACGCGTGTTATCGGCGCCCGCAACGCCAGCTCCACCGGGAGCTAATCAGCCGGCCTCAGCGTTATCGGCGCCGCGACGGCCCGGCGCTCCTGGGGACGCTCCGCGCCTGCCGCCCCGCTCCGCCGGCCCTCACCTGCCCAGCTCCCGGCCCGGGCTCAGGCTGTAGCTGTCCTGGAAGGGGTCGGTGCGCACCGCGGTGCGGATCTCCGTCAGCAGCCCGCGGGCGTGGGGCGGAGGCGGCCGGGGCGGGGCGCTCTGAACCCGGCCGGCCGGACCCGAGCCGGAGGCGGCGGAAGACGAGGAGCTGCAGCTCCCCGGCTTCTCCAAGGGGATCATGGTGTTCTGGCGCTCGTCCTTTCGGGCCGCCGGCTCGATCCCAGCAGCCGGCGGGTAACCGGCCCGCCTCCGGCAGCCTCGTGGCGGTCCGAGGCGCCCTCAACCACGAGCTCTCCTAGCGCCGTGTTCCGTCTGCTGACTGCCGGCTCCCGGCAGCTACGTCCCACGCCTGGCCCCGCCCCTTCCGCCGGCCCCGCCCCTTCCGCCGGCCCCGCCCCTCACGGATCGCCCGCGAGAGCCGGAGCGCCCCTCGCCTCACACGCTCCCTCTGCAGGCCAGATGGGAAAAAGTGCAGCCTAGGAAGGGAGGCTGCCTGGGCGACCTGGAGGCGACGCACAGCGCCACCGTTTGGACAGGAGGACCGAACTCTTCAGCGGGGTTACACACTTGTTGACATCTAAGATAAAAGCTGACAGTGGGTTAAGGAAAAGAAAGTGTAAGAACTGAGAGCAGGAGTTCAGAATCCACTTTCGCTTGGGTGGATGGGTAGAAGTGGTGAGACTCTGATCCCATCTGCTGTATAGCTGGGGAGTTGCTCTGCTCTTCTTTCTACCCTGGAAGATGGCTTTAGAGGTGGAAGTTCTGTAAATGTTACAAAGTGCACACATCAGCCCAACGAAATAAGGACTCTTACACTGTCTATATTCTTCTCTGCATTTACTTTTGAGATGCTTTCATCCATTCTTATGGCTTTAGTTACTATCCATGATTACATTAATATCTCTGGCTTCCCTAACATCAGACTCGTATATTTAATTGTGCACTTGACATCTTCACTTACCTGTTAAATTAGCTTCTCAAAATTAACATGCACAAAAGTAAGTCCCTGGCCACCTTTATAAATACACTCCTACTCAGTTTCCCCATCTCAGTTTTCCCTATATCAGTTCTCGCTGTCTCCATCCCTTCTGCTGTTTAGACTCAAAAACCTGAATTTGCATTGGTTCCTTCCTTTCTCTTAGACCCTTTATCCACTTTGTCGGTGAACCCTCTGGTCTTTCCTTCAAAATGTGTGCAGATTCATTCATTTCTCTCCACTTCCACATCACCACTCTGGTTGGAGTCACTACAATCTCTTGTCTGGATCATTGTGATAGTTTACTAACTGAATTGCCTGCTTCCATCCTTCTTCCTCTCTAATCCTACATAGTTTACTCTCAAGGAAATGACGATGATCTTAAAAAAAAAAAAACAGATCACTTCCTCAAACTGTTCCAATAAGATTGTGCTTCTGGCAATGATGGCCTAGTTGTTCATGATTAACACTTTCACTGTGAAACATTAGAAAAGTTGGCAAAGTGTAAAACTAAATATCCTCTTCTTGAAGGCATTAGGGAACTTCAGAAATCAGCAAGGATTTGGGTGATTGAAGTCCTGGAAAGAAGGGCATCCCATGATGGTATCATTTTTCCATGAAGTATTTGGCAATTCTAAAGCTGATTCTAAATAGCTGAAAGGTGATAAAATAAGCAGATCTTTCAATCATCTCATGAGGCTAGAGTATAAAAAGAAATGAAGTTTAGGACCTGTTAAAGAAAAAAGTGCCAGTAAACACCCCTGGCTTTTAGCTGGGTTTCAACAGTGTATCTTAAGAGCTTCAGCACAAGGAAAATAGACCAGCCCTCACAAGGACTGAAGATCACCCTGGAAAGGCACCAGAGAGTCCCCAGAGGAACACTGCATCAGCGACAAACACTCATTAGCTGTACAATAGTTTGTACCTACTGCTGACATTTAATTGTAAAAAGGATACACAAAAAGAATTGTCTTATAAAACTAAGAAAGAAAGCAGAAAGAAACACTCAGGAGATACAGACATTAAACAAATTTTAAAATAATTCTGTTAAATATTTGTAAGAAATTAAATGACAAGTTGGAGTGTTTCAGTGGAGAACTTGAGACTCCAAAAAAGAGTAAAATGGAATTTTGGAACTGGTAAAAAACATGCAGAGTAAAATTAATGTGGATTGTTTAGTTTAGCAAACAGATTATTTACAATTTAAGCACAAATTAGTGAACCTAATAAATCAAAAAAATTGTGCAAAATGGAGTACTAGTGATAAAAATGTGAAGTTCAGAAAAGAGAATAAAGCACATAAATGTGGTAAAACATTTTAACACATATAAAATTGAAGTATCAGAAGGAGAGGAGAGACCTATTTGTAGATGATATGATCCTATACTTAAAAGGTCTTAAAGACTCCACCAAAATACCCTTAGATCTGACAAATACTGGCAAAGTAGTAGGATACAAAATTAACATACAAAAATCAGTAACTTTTCTGTATACCAAAACCAAACAGGCTGAGAGAGAAATTGAGAAAATAATTCCATTCACAATAGCCTCAAAAGTTTTAAAAATATCTAGAAATAAACTTAACTAAGGAAGTGAAGACCTTATAATGATTACTATAAAACATTGAAGAAAGAAATTGAAGGAGTTATTGGAAGATGGAAAGGTCTCCCAAGATCATGGGTCAGCAGAATCAATACTGTGAAAATGACAATACTACTGAAAACAATCTACAGATTCAGTTCAAACCCCATTAAAATCCCAATGTCATTTTTTTGTATAAAAATCTTTTATTACAGAATTACCTGTTATGTGAATTACCTTCCATAGAAAATACTTTGGTTATCATTGTAATTTTCCTTTTTAAATAAATTTCACTATGTATATTTAAGATCTACAACTTGACCAAACTCAGCAAAGCAAACATCATATGTTTTCATTCATATGCAGAATCTGGAGAAATAAAATGTACTCAATATTAGCACAAAAAATAGGAGAAAGTAAGTGGAGTAAAGTCAACCAATAAATTTAACAAAATCCTAATAAATCTTCAAAAGTTTTTTTTTTCTTTTTTAGGACTTATTAAAATTTATCCCAAAGTTCATTATGGAGAATGTTCAAAGGAGAATACATAAGAAAATTTTGGAAAATGAAGTTTTGTAAGGAGAGAACTGTCCTAAAAGATATTAAAATATATTATGAAATATGCCAGTTCAACATAACGCAGTGTTTTGGAATATATAAGAAACCAAAACAGGCCCCAAAAGACTATAAAATGTAGAAAGAGAGAACAATTAGATGATTCTGAAAGAAATAATCTATAAAAAATAAATCAGTGGAAAACGTTTAAGAAAAATATTTGAATACTCAAATTTTTTTTGGCAGCACTGGAATTTGAACTCAGAGCCTCATGCTTACTAGGCAGGTGCTCTGACTGCTTGAACCACTCTGCCAGCCCTCAAAGTTCTTGCCTATCCCAAATGTAATATAAAAAATTAAAAGTCAAACTGTAATTTTGCAATAAAAACAAAAATCCTATTCTGAATAAAGAACTTATAATAAGAACTGATTCAAAATTAGAAAAGAAAATAGAAAATAATTTTTAAAGAGACAAGAATAATGGATCCATGTAAAATACTCAAACTTACAAGTAATGAAGGAAATATAAATAATCCAATGCTATTAACTCATTAAAATCAGCACAGATGTTTAGGATAAGTCAAAGCCTAACGTTAGTAAAAATGGAGGGATATACTGGAAAGATAAAAACAAAAGTGTTTTATTTTTCTGTACTTTTCTGAAAACTCAGAGTATGCAGGGCATAATCTACCTGATTCTAGCAGTTTATCTGACTGAACCGCTTCTATATCAACCTGAGTTTATCTGTACCAGATTACATTCTGTGTGTTTACTTTTCTTCTTCCTAGTTAGATAGGACAGGGACCATTTATTCCTGTATCCTCATTGTGCTTAAGTGACACTCCATAAAAATTGCTGAATAAATGTGGTTGAATTGAATACGTAATACTGTCTCCCAGTACAGCAATTGTTAAATTAATGATGACATACTTTACTTGATACAGTGAGGTTGTTATGAAGCATTTTTATAGGGATTTAAGAATACTGGGTTACACAGTACCTATTTTACAATGATAATTATAAAAAAGAATGAATTGAAATATTTTCTACTGTATATTATGATTTTAAGAGTGCACGTAAAAGATGGCACAAAATTACCACTGTAATAATGATTCTCTTTGAAAGATGTTGTCACCAGAATCTGTCAGGGTCTAGGAAGGTATCTAAAAGGGAGAAGGACCATTGGTAGTGGGCTCCTGATGTAACAAAAAAAAGTATTTTAGGACACGTCGAGGTAGAGACCAAGAAAGTTTATTAGTAAAGCAAAGCAAAGCAAAGCAAAGGAAAATCCTTTCCTTTCCAGATATGGGTGCTGGCACACTTGAGATGAGGCAAGTGATGCTCTATTTATAATGAAAAAGTGGCTTGAGTGTTTGGATTAAATTCATCTTGGGATTTGTGCTCTCCTTTTTTTTTTTCCTGGAAATTCAATGATTCTTGATGTCACACTGTTTTGACAAAATCAGTTGGTTCCAGAGATATCAAATCTGGTCAGTTTATGAAATTTGGGTCATTGTGACATAGAAGTCTATTTTCCTTGAACATCCCTTTAAACAAAGAAAGAATTTCATAAGATGCTCTTTTTAAGCCAGGTGTCCTTCCTTAAGATAGTGTTTTTTCTTCTTTGCAAATACTTCTGTGATCAAAGGAGTCATTTTACCAACTTATTTTTTCCCAAGATAAGTGTCTTTTTTTAAAATGTTCTCACTTAGTTCCCAGAGGAACAGGGCAAATGGGCAAGGTCAGAGGGAGAGAACCGTTTTTTGTTTTTATTTTTTAAACTACATGTTGCAGCATAGTGGGAGTATGAAACTTAAAGCAAAGAAAGTTGTGCCTGTGTGCTTTTAAGCAAGTAATTTACTAATAAATGTTTATTTCTGTTTTCCTAGCTCCTGTTTCCCACTGTTTCTCCTGATCTATCCTGCTTCAATGTGATTTATCCTGCCTTAAAATGGCTTTTGCTCATAATTTTCTTTTGTTTTCTGTACTTTACAAATTATTCCTTAAACAATTATATATTACTTTTGTAATTGAGTGAAAATATTTAGAAGCTTTGCTTTTCATAGAAATACTTTATGATTTTTCATAAAAATGCAGCCCTACTATATGTTATTTATTAATTTCAATTTTGTTTATTTTTTGGTCTTTTTGAGATAGGTATTTGCTATGTAGCCCAGGTTGGCCTCATGTTCATGGTTCCCCTGTCTCCA